GTTAATCTTTGGTACAAGTAGTTACTTCACTATATGTTTCTAACCCCTAGCTGGGGAAGTCAAAAAACGGTATGTCACTTTCTGTTACATAACATTCTCCAATAGGCAGGGTAAAACTGCATAGAAATGAAATATAAAAAGTCACTGTTGCAATAACTAAGTACTATCTTCTCCTTTCAAGAGAACTAATGGTACTTCAACTTGATGGCAGTGGCTGCTTTCATGCTGCAAATGTTTTGTCTCTTCAACTCCCTACAGTAGAGACCAAAACTATAAATGGGAGCCAATTCCATAATTATTGGAAAAACTTTATGCTGCTAAAGTACTGTGAAAATAGAGCAACCTAAGAATTAAAGAATGAAAAACTATTCTGTTGGTAGAGAACATATTTTACATATCCATCACCTTGGCTTACTTAAACTCTTAACTGATTTAGCTTGCATTGACATTCTTTGCCTTTTCTGTCTTGTCTACCTCTTTGCTCTTTTCATTAGATCCTCCTACTACTACCACACGACCACCCACGGTTCCATGGCATCCTTCAACTGATGGCATCACAGGTTTAGCAACAGAACCTAAACTAATATATTTTCCAGCATCAACCTTGCCAGCAATGCAGGAAGACAATTGGGGTACCATCATCGGTAGTGCAGTGGGTGGGGCTCTCTTCCTGATACTTGTAAGCATTTTGGTTGGAGTTGTCTGCTATAGGAGAAGACGGACGTTCCGTGGTGACTACTTTGCTAAAAACTACATTCCGCCAACTGATATGCAAAAAGAGTCTCAAATAGATGTTCTCCAGTCAGATGATGTGGATTCTTACCCTGACAGTGTAAAAAAAGAAATAAAGCATCCAATGAACAGTCTGATATCTAAAGACTATTTAGAAGACCCTGAAAAGCCAGAGTGGAACAATGTAGGCAATATTAACAGGTACCAGGAACGGTATGAAAGACCAATGGATTACTATGAAAGTGGAACACTGGGGATGAAATATATGGGTAGCGAATGTTATGATGACAATGAAGAAGACTTTGTTTCCCATGTAGATGGCTCAGTAATATCCCGAAGGGAGTGGTATGTGTAGTAACAACTGAAAATCTAACTTGGTATCTACAGTTCCATTCATTAGCTGATTACTTTCAGATTTGTTTATATTTTGACTTGAGGAATAAGCTTTTTGAAGTTGATTTTCAAGCTTTTTATATTGTAAGTTGACAGACGGAAATGTAAAATCTGGATAAAAATGTATCTGAGCTGCTTTTTTTTCCATTGCTGTACTACTGTTGTTCAAGATCTGAATTTTAATGCAGAGTACTTTATTGGTCTATGGTACAGGTAACAAACTGCTGAATTAAAGTTACCCTACAAAATTGTTATAAAGAATTGAAAAGCAACTGTCTTGCCTTTTGTGACTGGAAAAAATACCTGAGATGATGATAACTTGTTAGGTGTACTCTCAGATCTAGAAAATTGAGTAAGTCTGGGTTGCACTTCACCAAAGGTAAACTCAATTGAAGTGCAACTTGCTGCTGCGAATATTGGTTCTGTTTAAAACAGTTTCTTGTGCGGGGGGGGGCGTTTCTTGCGTGGTACTTGTGTATGTTTTGGTTTATTTTTTCCTATTTGTTTTTGCTTTAAGCTGTATTCCTTGAAGACTTGCTGCACAAAAAATACCTCTAGTAATTTTGTTTAGTCTACCATTACTTTTCAAAGAAAAAGCATTGCACTGAAAAAGCAGTTTATCTTATAAACAAGTGCTGAGGATTAGCAATTAAAATAAGTCAGCGTTGTGTCTGAATTGAAAATGAGAAGTTATTTTTATGGTATATTTAATTCTCAAAAATGAAATCTGTAAGACGCACAAAAATAATCTTTTCATTTTTATAGTCTTACAGTTGTATAGGCAATTTAAAACGGACACATTTAAGTATAATTGGAAATGCATATCTAATGAGAAACTTTCTGTACCTTGGTTCCAACCAAACAAAAATATCAACAGAATAATAAATGGAGGGCAAAAAAATGTCAAATGCCAAGTAGGACAGTTTTGAATTTCAGAGAAAATATAATGCATAACTTGCAAAGAGCACACAGGACCTTGCATTCTTAACACTAAACAAAACAACCAGTATATCTTCTTAAAGCTGTAAAGGAGATTGAAAAGCATAATTTTGCAGTAGTTCACATGTGGAAGCAGAATTTGCTACTTCCATATACTAGGCAGTTTAGCTTGTCTTTTACTGTGTTTGACTGTCAAGTTTGGAAATGGAATTGTTAAGCACAACAGTGATGGCTTGGCTAGAAAAGAGTCTAAGGTTGCTTAGTCAATAGCAAAAGCCAAAATCATCTTACTCGTACTCATACACTGTATCAGTCCTACTAATATGTAGAATGGAATCTGAATGATAAGGAGATAAGTATTATAGACAGTTATTAAAATGTAAAAGTTAAAGGGACTTGACAGACATCAGTGAAACCACTTAGAGATAAATGTATAGGCTGAAAAAAAAAATTTATTTTGAGAAACTTGCCTTAATATGGAAGTGAAAAAAAATGAGGCCTATTTCTTTCTTTATTATGAGTTACACCTACTAGTTTCTTTTCAAGATTGCTTCTTCAATGTTTCTCAAAGCTTTCTAGTTGTAAAAAGATTTAACATGACAGCAAGTGTTTAGAGCCTTATAGTAACTAAAATGTGTACATTAGGACAAATGATAGCTTGTCTTGTGGAGGTGGACGGGGGACATGGAAGGCTATAGAATTCATAGTGAAATTCGAGATGAAAGGATAGCATGTTACCCAGGCAGCTTAGGTTCATAATTGATAATTACATGCGTTTGTTGAACAAAGTTCGACTGTAAATACAATAGAAACTGGAAGAATACTCTGCTTCAGTTTCAACTCAGGTAAACAAAGTAAATTTTTCTCACAGTCTGAAAAATCCTGTTGAAAGGATTAGTTTACACCCTACATATGCAAAGTACATTATTTAACCATCTTCAGAGGAGTGTGTCTTTTAAAAAAAAAAAAAAAAAAAAAAAAAAAAATTT